ATAGATAGATAGATAGATAGATAGATAGATAGATAGATAGATAGATAATTTTCTGGGGTTTATTAATATAACAACTATAATACAAACATGTTTCAGACATAGCTGGACGCGCCCAGCTAGCTGCTGTAGTTTTTAAGATGGGCTGATTTTATTCCAGAAAAACAGATGAAGACCTCTCTAAAAATGTATTTTATCTTTTTACGAGCAAACCAAACTGATTTCAGACTTTTCAGACAGTACTTTATGTGTCCCGGCTTCTAGGAAAACCGACAAAGCCTGCAGGAAGGTTCGGAAACAGAGCCGCACAGCTAAAGAACAGCACCCAGAAATCAGCATTGGTTTAGTCCGAGCCGCCTTAAGGAATGTGCACAACACATGGAGATGATGCTCGCAGAGGCTTTGCATGTCCTCTGAACCTGCTTCCTCCTCAGGCTCACAGTGCTCTCTTTCATCTCTTTTTCCATCCTCAGTGTTGCACAATGGGCCACAAACACAGGCTGCCTTATCTGAAAGCTTCATTATGGATCTATTCCAGAGCAAACAGTTTTATACTAAGATAAAGCTGAACTCCTTCGCACCTACATGTGTCACTTTTTCTATGGTTTTGATCATTTAACCTCAGACCTCAGGCCATTAGCTCATTAACTCCCCTCCGTGTCCTGGTTGAGGTCATAGAAGACTCGTTTAATGAATCAGAGCTCCGTACAGTATCTTAAAACCACCCATCTGACCTCCTCTTCCACCATGAAGTTCACCTCCTCCATTAAACAGTGACTCAAACGGCTGCCGCTGTTCAGCAGGACGTCTGAGCTCATTTGTTAATAATAATGAAGGCTGTTCATGCTCTGCCGGGCAGCTAAACACCCTGATAAGGAGACTTTCAAGCATTTAAAGCAGTTTAAGATAAACTGAGTGACGCTGACTGATCAGATTCAGTTGAATTTTCCGCTCCAGAATGAGTAAATTTAGGGATATTTTTATTGCTGAGAACCGGGTCACACCTGTGTGAGAGTAAATCATCAAGCCGCTCCATCTAATGAGTTCATTGTTCTTTGTTCTGCTCCAACAAGACGGGCCTGTTGGCCAGAGAGCACAAAACCTGTCTGTGCAAAAGCAAATTACCAGAAGCCTTCAATTCAGGGGAATTTAGAGCTGACGCTTTTATTTGGTTTTTAACTTTTTGTTTTGACTTGAACCCCTACAACATGATTGGACCATGAATACCTCTGTGTTTTAGCTAACAATCCTGTTCAAATTATTTTTGAAAATCACTTTTGCCTCACTGGGACACTTTGAGGCTCAGGTCCTTCTTTTGATGTGGCATTTATGTGTCAAATTGTCCTTCAAAATCTTCAGGCTTATCTTAATTTTTATGCATTTTAATCTCTTGGCCAATGGAAGGAAGGAGGGAATATTTTTCTAATGAAATCTAATTTTTACTATTTTTTTCCTGATGTACAGGAAAAATAACAAAAGAAGATGTTGAAGGCAGATAATTACTCCTCCAATTTTGAGACAGAAATGGGCCATGTGTTTGTTTAACTTTTAATGAACAATCTTATCCCCATGCTTTTAGAAAAACATTTCAGAAAAGTTTGATTTTTTCTGTTAAATTTAGACTAAAAATGGTGATTCTTAGCTTGATTTGATGGTTCTTTCCATATTTGAATGGATGAAAGCATTTCTGGAAGATTGCCTGGTTAAGAAAATCAAAACTAGGATGTTTTCATATCTGAACTAATTGCTGAAGGAATTCATTTTCAGACAACAAAACAAATCCCACAGAAGCAATATAACCTAAATCTGATAAAAAAACATCTTTAATTAGATGGCAGCTGTTTGTCGTGTTTTTAATGGTTAACTCCTCCAAACGTGTGGAGCTTAAACTTATTCTGGCCTCTTTTTTCACCCATTGACATTATTTATGTAAACTAACACAAAGTGGGTCAAAAAGTGTCATTAAAAGCTTTGAGAAGGGGCCCAGACATCTATTTTTAACTCCAAAATGACCGTGGCCTCAGACTAACTGCTGGTGTCTTCCAGGCCTCTAAGCCTTTGTTGGGTCATCCTGACCTTAGAGGTCAAAGTTCACCTGTGGGTCAGAGGTCAGAGTCGTTAAGGTCGCCGCCACCTGCTGATTGGATGTCTGGAACAAGGATGAGGGCGTCTGTGAGGTGGGTTCAGCTCACAGGCTGGACCATGGGTGTGTTTCCAGAGGACTCAAACAGAACCAGGCCACTCATAACCTCTCCCAGAACCCTGTTCCAGTTAAATTTGAGGCCTTTTTGTGGGCCGTCTGAGTCGGTTTTCGGGTCCCCCATCAGGTCTCAGCAGCTCCTTTGAAGCTCAGACGCTTTCAGGGTTCAGGTGGAGCTGATTGGGCCTCCACCGAGTGCAGGCCTCTGATTGGCCGGGCAGTGAGGTCGTGTGAGGAGTCATGAAGCCACGTCGCAGACTGATGACATCACAGGACGTCTAATGGAAAAAGACCAAAACATGTTGTTGATTAGTTACCAGCTGAAAGTGGGCACAAAAAAAACGACTGAAGTCCAAACGCCTCCCGTCACTAATTTGGGAAACTCCATCTTCTGACATAATATGTCCAAGATAAAGTATTAATGCCCCCCAATAGAGGTCTATCCATGGTCAGTAGATACCTGTGAATCAGTTGCAAACTGAGACTTCACAGCTGTACGTGCTGCCTTCAGGGACATGTGTTCTCCAGGAAAAAAACAGATTATGCATACATTTATAGCAGTGATTCCCAAAGTTTCCAGAAACAAAAGAAAAATTTGAAAACGATAAGAAATAGATAGCCACGATTGTAACGCAAGATAAAACTAGTATCTAGCCGATAAAACTTAAAAATAAATCCAGTTGGTGACCAGATGTGGAGGCTGGTCTCCGAGTCATGTCTCCAACATTAAACCCTGACATGTTGCACTTCCATCTCGTTAGGTTAAGTTCAAATTAGAGTAATTTAAAGTACATTAAAGTAAAATAATGTTATGGACGTAGTGTTATTTTGTGTCAACATGCTCGTGTTTGGATGTGCCAACAATGCGTAATGTTTCTATACGTTTATAGTCGGGGGTCAAAAGGCACTTTGGGTTACTTTGGGGTTTGTGGGCTGAAGGTTTTGTGAACCCCTGCTTTAGAGGCCAGAAAAGAGGCTGGACATCAGCAATAACTTATTTCATGAAATGTTTGACGTCTCACTCGTCCTCTCGTCTTGAGAGAGTCTTTAACCAGGATTGAGAAACGGCGGCGTCAATCATTACTTCCAGAAACTCCTCCAAACACCGGACGACCTCTGCTCTGCTCAAAGTGAATCATAACCACCCGGTTATGGACCAGTCGGGGGCCGGAAAGCACAGAAACAGCAGTGACTGAGTAACCAGAGGCCTCTGTCGCGCTACTCCCCCGAGTGACAGCCGCTATAAAAGGCCGCCTCCGGCCCGTCCCTCCTCCGAATCCTCGCACGCCCAGGGAGGAGTGAGGATGGCGAGGAGGAGATAGAGCCGGCGGCGCCGGGGAGGCAAACAGAGGGCGGATAAGAGGAGTGGCGGACGTCCGGCCTTGGTCTGCGTCTGTCCTCAGCTTCCTGGACCTCATCCAATGGCTGGGCCTGGACACGGTTGGCGCTGGCTAATGGCGGCGGCGCTCCTGGCCGGCATGGCGGCGGCTGGTGGGGAGCTGGCGGCACCGGTAAAGGCGGCGGCCGGAACAAACCACAGCCATGGTTCCATCTCAGGGATCCCCATCGTCTCCTTTAAGTGGCACCACGTGGAGATGCCCTACCTGGTGTCCCTGTGGGTGCTGGTGTCCTTTCTGGGGAAGCTGGGTATGTAGAGGCCAGAGGTCAGAGGTCACGTGTGGCGGGAAGAGAGGCAGATGCAGTTTTTACTTGAAGTGAACACAAAGTTGTGGTTTTATCTGTGAGCACGGGCGTGATAAAGTTTAGTTCTTTTGGCGTCCGCAGCCATCAAAGCGTGATGCGGAAGGAGATTGAAACTTTTTGAAAGCAGACACAGAAAATCCAGCACTGAGAAGAGAGTCAGCGCCCTGAAAAGCCCAGGACCAGAACCTGGAGATAATCCAGAACCAGAAACTAGAACCAAAACCTGGAGATCAACCAGGACCAGAACCTGAAGATAAACCAAGACCAGAACCAGAACGAGGACCTGGAGATTAACCAGAACCTGGAGATCAACCATAACCAGGACCTGCAGATGATCCAGAACCAGCAGCAGAACCAAAACCAGAACGAGCAGATAAACCAGAACCAGAACCAGGACCAGGACCTGGAGATTAACCAGAACCTGGAGATCAACCAGAACCACAACCTGCAGATAAACCAGACCCAGAACCATCAGCAGGACCAGAAACCAGAACCCAAGCCTGGAGATCAACCAGAACCTGCAGATAATCCAGAACCAGAACCAGCAGCTCTTTGGGAATCCTCAGAAATCCTGTATCCTGTCTGTCAGACTGGGTTTTATTTGGCCTTTTCCCTCCACCAGCTACAGCAATGGAACAAATGATGTGTCTCTGTGACAGGCTGCTGCTGACAAAGAGCCTAAAGATCCACTTTAAACTGCTGCTCTGCTGATTGGACACAACGCTGGCTCAGCCCTTGAGTTAGGGGCCTTTTTCTGGCTCAACAAATATTAAAACTGGACTTAAAATTAGTGAAAAAGTAGAAAATATCCCAACAAAAACATAGATAAACCTCAGAAATCCTAAATGAGTGTCATAAAGAACACTTTAAAGGACGTCTGGCTGCTGTGAAGGAAGATTTAAGGAAAGTAAAGGTGGCTGAATATTTATCCTTCTGATCCATTTTAAACTGCTGCTCTGATTATTGGACAAAATGCCGGCTCATCCCTTGAGTTAGGGGCCTTTTTTCTGCCTGAAGGACTCAGAGTTTAGTGGCTAAACAGAGAAATACCACAAAAACTGGACTGAAAACAAGGAAAGAAGCAGAGGAAAATCTGAAAGCTGGTGCTCAGAGCTTCTTTTGAGGTTAAAGGAGAACAAAGACAGGAATCTGATCTGGACTGTGTGTTTTAGAAGAAGAAAAATGTCGAACATGACTGTAACATGTAGCAAACAGCCAGAGGCTGCTCTTATCTGCACAGCATTCTGTTCCAGGCAACAAAATAACTTCTTACAGTATTTGTCTTTCTTCTAAACGACTTTGGTTCCGATCACATCTCAGGTGCTGAGAGTTGATCCCTTTTAAAAACATGGAAAGAGGTCCTGTAATCTTCAGCCAGACAGACAGGAGCTCCAGTGGGTTTCAGAGGCTCCGGCCAGTTAATCATAACCCAAAAAACCGAAGGTGGGGGGGTTATATTTTTTGCTCTGGTTACAGTTCAAGCCGTAAGTGAGAGCTGGTTACTGAGTCCGGGGCCCAGAGGGGCAAATTCAGGAGGAAGAAATGAGCTTCGATTAGCTGATAAAAGCCATTAAGAAGCAATGCAGCGGCTAAAAGAGCTAAAAGAGCCATAAAAAGCCCAACGAGGCCCTCAATAATAGGCTGGATGTGGAAGAGCTGTTTATTCTAAAGGCCCTTCTCTGATATGAAAGGCTTTTTGATCGTCAGACTTCATGTGGGGGGGAGTCTGAACCTCCTAAACCAATCAGAGTCTGAGTCTTTCTGCCTCCTGGTTTGAAGATGATCCATTTTTTAATGACTTTTCCGTTTAACTTTCTGTCTAAGTTAAATGATCTCCAGCTAAGAAAGACTCTGATTGGTCAGAGTCCTTCTCCTGTTGTTTTGTGACTGATTTTGTGTTTTTTTGCGTCTCTCATGGGGTTTTCTGTGTCACTTTTTTGTTATGTTTTTTGTCTGTTTTTGGTTGTTTTGTGTCTCTTGTTGGGGTTTTTGTGTCTCTTTTTGTTTTTTTTGTGTCACTTTTGGGGTTTTTTTGTGTCTATTTATGTTTGTTTTGTGTCTCTTTTTTTTTTGTGTGTCTCTTTTTGTTTTTTTTGTCTCTTGGTGGTAGTTTTGCGTCTCTCTGGTTATTTTGTGTCTCTTTTTGGTGTTTTGTGTCTCTTTGTGGATTCCTCTTTGCTTTAAGCTGACCCCCTCACCATAACATCTAAATATCAAGTTGAAGTCCAGCTGGCTTCACTAAACCAACCAATGGAAGCCAGTTTTACAGGATTAAATAAGCCATAAAATCAAGATGTGGCCTCTTTTATTTGTACGACGTCAGCCAATGAAAGCAAGGAGTCTAACAACGTGTTTTCCTGTCCTCCCCATAGTTATCGAGTCCAACCATCACGTGACCAACATCATCCCCGAGAGCGCCCTTCTCATCTGCTTCGGCTTCATCCTGGGGGGGATGATCTGGGGGGCGGACAAGGTGCAGACCTTCACGTTGACCCCCACCGTCTTCTTCTTCTACCTGCTGCCGCAGGTCATCCTGGACTCCGGCTACAGCATGCCCAACAAGCTCTTCTTCAGCAACATGGGCGGCATCATGGTCCACGCCATCATCGGGACCTGCTGGAACGCCGCCAGCCTGGGGCTGTCGCTGTGGGGGTGCCACAAAGGGGGAGCCATGGGTGAGGCCAGCAATCAAGAAAAAAACTGAAATTCGGCCTCGTTCTGGCTCCAACTCACAGAGAAACTCAGTTTAAAGTAGAAAAACGGCCTCAAACTGAAATAGAAACTCAGTTTAAAGCAGAAAACGGCCTCAAACTCACAAAGAAACTCAGTTTAAAGCAGAAAAACGGCCTCGAACCCATAGAGAAACTCAGTTTAAAGCAGAAAAACTCTGTTTAAAGCCTATAAACAGCCTCAAACTCACAAAGAAACTTAGTTTAAACCAGAAAAATGGCCTCAACGTTGGGTTAAAGCAGTAAAACGGCCTCAAACACTGTCTCAAACTCACAAAGAAACTCAGTTTAAACCAGAAAAATTGCCTCAAATTCAGTTTAAAGCAGAAAAACTCTGTTTAAAGCCTAAAAACCACCTCAAACTCTCAAAGAAACTCAGTTTAAACCAAAAAAATGGCCTCAAACTCAGTTTAAAGCAGAAAAACTGCCTCCAACTCAGAGAGAAACTCAGATAAAAGAAGGAAAACAGTTCAAACTCCCAGAGAAACTCAGTTTAAAGCAGGAAAACAGCCTCGTTTTGGGGGTTGCTGGGGCTCTGGATGCTGCTCAGACCTGCCCCCCCCCC